AGGATTCCGCAAGGGTCATCCGTGAGGCCCCGCTGGCCCCGGGCCCCTCTCGGGACCATGTGATCGTCGGGGCATCTGCGCATGTTGGCCGACCTTTCACTGAGCGACCCCCCTAGACACCGACGCCGACGTGGCACCGACAACACGTGCTGAGCTCTCTGCAGGCTCGGCAGCGCTGGTCCACGGTAGAGGCGGGGGCCCCAGGCAGCGGCGGCCCAGTGGCCGCCTCCGCCAGCGACGCCCGGCGCTTCCAGGGCCGCGCGCACCGCGCCGTCGCCGTCAGGGATCACCTACAGTTCGCGCAGGGCGCCTATGACGCCGCCGTGGAGGAGAACGTGGCCGAGGGCATCTTGCCGGAGGTCCCTGAGCTCGAGAGCAAGGCCGAGATGAACTTGAGCATGGGCCGCGCGGCGGAGCCCTGCGACTCCGAGGGCAATGCCGCCGCGGCGGCGGCCGCGGAGGCGGGCGAGGTGCGCGAGGGGCACCCGCAGGGCAAACGCCCCAACGCCCTGTTCCGAGCGGTTCTGCACCACCTACAGCTGGCACATCGAGAGCACGGGGCCGCCCTGGAGGAGGGCGCGACCGAGAGCGCCCAGCGGCGGGCCCTGATGGCCTCGAAGGCGGCGTCCGCTGCCAGCGAGAAGGCCTCTCAGAGGAATTCGTTCCAGGCATCGCGCCGCTGGATCGGAGCGACTGGCCGTCGGCGCGCGCTGATCGCATCCATCCCGCAACCCCGTGGGGCGTCGAAGTGGCAGGAGCTTGCGGGACTTATGATCGACGACGGCCATGCCCCTCGCACCACGCCGTGAGCTCAAGGCAGTGACGTCGTAGTTTGGGACGTTGGGTCTACTTCAGGTGTGTCCACCAGGTTGCACGCGCCAGTGCTCACTTCACCAGTAAAGCCTGCTGCAGGCGCCTGGTGTAGTTCTGTGTTTTTCCCAACGCTTGTGCCACCTCGTCCGCCCTCCTTCCTTCTTACCCCCCTGCGTTGCTGACTTTGCGTTTGGCTCGGCCCGCAGCCCTGCCTGGGTATAGCCTGGAGCGTTGCCGACTTCGCATTGCTGGTAAGGGCGGCTCTTGCCATGCTGCACTAGGCTTCTCCTGCACATGATGTGTTGCGCCGTTTGAGAATCACTGCTCGCCGCCAGCCAGTGGCCAAAGGGTCGCGTGCGGATGTGCGGGTTTCCCACCAGTGGGTGGTGAGCTTCGTTCGTTGCGTCCGTGGGCGCGCGCGCGCGGGCCGACCTTGCGGTCGGCTTTGCGAATGCTCGCGAGACCTCAGCGTTGGGGTTGTGTCTTCAAAAAAGCGCGCTTGGATTCGAAGAGTCGCGCGATGGACGCCGGCTGCCGGCCCAGAGGGAACAGTATTTATCAAGTGGAGAGGTCCAGGGGAGGAGTGCTGGCCGGGTCGGGCCTCCATCGGGGCGTGGCGGATGACTGGCAGCTCGCTTGCGCGACGGACGTTGGTTGTCGGCCCGGAGGGGAATATATCTATCAGGGGGGGGGGTCCGGGGGAGGAGTTGTGGCGGGCGGCGCGAAGGCCAGCCCCATTTGGCGGCCACCGTCTCGGTGGCGATGTCGCCCGTGAGCACCGCGCGCAAGACGCCGGCCGCGTCCGGCGCGAGCTCGTCGCACTCCAGCAGACGCCGGGGTGACCAGCGGTCGGCCCCGCCCGCGACGTGTCCGAGGTCAGCGCGCGGCGGCCCCCCCACTGCGCGGGCCTCGCGCCGCGCCCAGGCGTCCAGCAGCGCGGGTGTCCTGGAGCGGGCGGTCGCGAAACCGCCAGCCGTCTGGGGCCCAAGGCGCGCCCTGCCAGCGCTCGATCTCGCCACTGGGGCCGGGGTCGGCCATGCTCCGCCGGGCGGCCGCGAAAGGCCCCTGCCGGCGGCCGTGGCCTGCGTCCGTCGTGCCTGCCATCTCGCGCCAGAACCCGAGCGGCAAATGCTGGCGGCGCAGCGCCTTCGGCGCATGCCACAGCGGGGCGAGGGCAACGACCGCGGCAAGGTCGAGGCGCCAGCTGCAGCGCTGAGCACGCCGAGAACGATCGGCTGCAGCCCGCGTGCCCGCCCCGGCAGACGGCCTGCCGCGCTGCCGACCGCAGCCAGGCCAGCTCGCGTTCGGACGGACGGCCGCACGAGGCGCCATGCATGCCGGCAGACGTGGCAGCCGCCGAGTCCAGCAAGCAATGTTGCCAGAAGCCCACCAGAAGGTGGGCGACGCGGGCGAACTGAGCAGCTGCTAGGCGGCAGGGAGGTCATGGCGGTCGATGTCGCCCAGGAGCGCCTCCTCACGACCTGCCCGCGCGGCTGCCGTGATCGCGCGCGCCGCCCCAGCGCCCCAGCCCTCCACAGCCCAACCATCCAAAGGTGCGACGGGCTGTCGCAAAAGGGCGGCTCTGGCGCCGCCACCTGCAGCTCCACCAGCAGCGCCGCGAGCGTGGCCAGCCCCGAATCCCAGCGCAGTCCGACCCTAGCCACCATCGCCTGGGCCTGGGCGTTGGCAAGGATTTAGTCGATCCGAGATGGGACCCCGTGCGACGGCATGCGCGCGGGGCCGGAAGCGGCGAGGAGATCCCTCCAGTCCATGCCCAGGAGGCGTTCCAATCCACAGTCGCGGAGGCCAATATTGAGGTCGCCCACCAGCAGCGCGGGCGGCCCGCCGAGGCCATGCAGCCACTCGTCGAGCCCCTCCAGCAGCAGGTCGGCGTTGCGCTCCGCGTCGGGATGGCCGCCGGCGTAGCCGTAAATTCAAGATATCGATTTGCGTACCCTGGTCCGAAGTCAGCCGCGAGATGCCGGTGCCGCCCAGGGTGCCGCCCGGAGAGCCCGGACCTCGCTCCACCCCGACCCGGCGAACGTGCAGCCGCCAGCAAGTGCTCGCCCCCGGCGGCGGGCCCCGGCTGCAGCGCCATGCCGCGCGCCTTGACTGCGGTCGCGGCTGATTCCGCCTCCGCGGCGGGAGTGCGCGCCTTTTGCACGCACCAGACCTCCGCGCCCACATCAAACAGGCTGCGCCAGCTCGCGCTCCAGCGGGTGACGTTCGCCACGAGCACCGTGGCGGACTCGGGCGGCCTCGGGCGCGGCCACCCCCCGGAACCGGCAGGGCCGGGCAGCTGCGCCTCTCCGACCCGCACGCCCCTCCACGGGCCCCGCAGCCGGCGAACCCAGGCGGGCTGCAACAGCGCCAATAGCCCGGCGGCGCAGCCGCAGTCTTGGGCCAGGCCGCCGCAGGCAGCGGCACCGCCGGCAGGGGGCAGAGGCGGGCGCGCTCGCCCTTCCCGGGTCGCACCTGCCACCCGAGCGTGCCGAGGGCGGCGGCAGGGCGCCCGGCGTTGCATGAAACGCCGTGCCGCCGCGGCAGGGCGCAGCGGTATAGTTGCCGCTGCCCTGGCACAGCCGCGCGGGCTGGACGAAGAGAGGGACACGAGGCTCCTGGGGCTCTCGGGGGCCCCCCGCGATCCGTGGACCTGGAAAGGTCGCCGTCGGGAGACCGCAGGGGCGCACATGCTTTCAGAAACGTCCTCTTCAGGGATTGGGCGATTTCTGCCTCTTGGGGGTCCTCTTGGAGCCTTCTTTTGGGGCGTCTAAGAAGCCATTTGGGCAGTCTCGAGGCCTTCTCGGTTGTCTTGGAGCTCTCCTCGGCGTGTTGGAGCCCAGCTTGAGCCAGCTGAGAGTCCACGGAACGCGCAGATTTGGAGGCCCCGGAGGCCCCGGAGGTGCGCTGAGGAACCCGCCCTCCATTACTCATCCCCCCCCCCCCCGAAGTCGATGTTGGACCCTGGGGGAGGGAACAAGCTAACTGTCTCACGCGCCTTTTCACCCTGAGCAATCGGGGACCACTGGATGAGTGGATGCCCAGGCGAGATGTGTGCCCAGCTGCCTCCTGCAAGTCTGTCGCCGTGGCCAGCGCAGCAGAAGCAGCTACCTGAGAAGGCAAGGGGGCGTGCAGTGCTGGGGGTCTCTTGGGGCAGAGGCCTCGAATTCCAGATTCGCATCCCCACTCTTAGACCCTTCTCGGGGTCATCTTGGGGCCCTCTTGAGCAGTCGTGGGCGCCTCTTGGGCCGTCTTGGAGCCCTCTTGGGTGGGCAGTCTTGGAGCTATCCTGGGAGCCTCTTGAGCCGTCTCAGGGTAGTCTTGGGGACCTCTTGGGCCGTCTTGGAGCGTCGAAAGCTCGAAATGACAAAGACCAACAAAACATTTAAAAAAGCCAAAGTTTGGGGCCTCGTTCGGTCATCGTGAGCCCTCCTGAGCCCTCTTGGGGCGGAAGGCTCGAATTGTCGGTTTGTTTTGACCCTCTTGGGCCTTTCTTGGGGCCATCTTGATGCCATCTTGGGCATTTTTGTGGTGCCTCTTGGACCGTGCTGGAGCACTCTTCCTCCTGGGCCGTCTTGGGGCACTCCGAGTGGCTTCTTGGATCGCCCGGTGACATCGGCAGCTCGGAAAGACGCAGCAAAAAAGGGTGGGTCACACTTAGCCTAGATACCCATTCGCTAATTAAGCAAGTTAGGTCCTTGTGTAACCCACTTGGGTCAACCAACCTCAGCATCCATTTGTAACCCCCCCGTCCCCTTAGCAACCCAAGTGTAGTCGTAAAAATAGAATCCCGACGGCGGGTTTGGGACAGTTTCCGGCGCCCCTAAGGCCTCACAGGGTTAATGGACATTCAAAAACGATTCGGAATGAAGCGCCGTTCCTTGGGAAGTGGTCTAGATTTTCAGGGCGTTCCTCCCGCCCCTCGCCACCGTCCCCACACTCCCTTCCTCCCTTCTGCTCCTCCCTTGCCCCCCCCCTCCCCCTCCTTGCGCGCGGCGATGGACATGACTTTTCTGCCAGGATGTACGGCGGCGGCCCCGGCCACAGCCTGGGCGACCGCCTGTTGGCGGACGTGGCCTACCTGCACGACCAGTTCGCCAGGCTGGACTGTATTTCCGCCGCCGTGCTGCATCTGTTGTCGGACCTCGTGCGCCACATCCAGGCGGGGCTCCCCTCCCGCTCTCCCTCCGCTACAATCGCACAACACGACCCGCTCTCACTTGATGTCGTACCAGTAACTACATCGTGCATCCAGTTTCTTGACGCTGAGGGTGGTCTGGAGCTGCCACTATATATAGAGAGAGGGAGCTTGCCCAAGCAGATTATTCTCTGCCGTTTAAAAGTAATGCTCTCGCTGGCGCGTTCGCCGTTCGCCATGATGAACAAACAGCCTCCGTCCAACGGAACGACGCCGTCGCCGTGTTCGCCGAAGTCGTGGTTGTACCGTTTGCATGCAATCAAAGCGCTGGTTGCCTGAGAGACGGTGTCATATCGCCTATCGCTGGTGAGTTTGTCGCATTTGATGTGCACCAGGGAGCCTCCGCCCACCAGAGCTATGGTGTCGCCGCAGTGGTGACAGTGGTGGTCGCGCCTGTGGAAGTGATGATCTCGTTGCAGGCTGTGGCCACAATTCTGACACTCCCGTCGATATACAATGGGACGTTTCTACAGTAGCCTGCATCATCGAAAGTAGTGCCGCTCCCCCCCCCTTCACCCCGCGCAGCGCGTGCGCCACATTGATTTCCATGGAGCTTCCTTCCAACGGAACGGCGCTCTCGCCTCGGCTCGTGCTGCCA